ACAATTTCACTGTTGCTCTTACCGGCGCTGCTCTGCCTCCCTCATTTTTCGCTGTGCTTTTATTTTGTCAAATGGCACAATGCCTTGTCTCTCTCTGCTCTCTGATTTGCGATCCTGGCTCTTAATGCTCTGTATTTAATATTGAGGTAAAGAAACTTAATAAAGTACATTTATAAAAGGACAACTATCACAAACAATACTCTAAGCTCTGTTTCCATTCATACACATCGTATCTCAAAGCTTGGTCCCCTCGTTTTTCAAAAAAGCTGTTCTTATCTTAACATTATAGACACACCATGTATTAACACAGTCATACTTACCTTCCCACATTTATTTGGCAGGATTTAATTGCTGAATATGCTATCAGCCACATGAAAAGTATTTTACTAATTAAGATCTAAATCCAAATTATAGAAACTCTAATGGGACAAACTGGTAAGACAACTGTGGGTTACATGTAACTTGGCAAGATTCAGTATTTGTTTCTAACGAAAACTGACACGTAGTATTTCCCATGCAGAAACATTACTTACTCTGTCTTTTGATGCAGTTGATGTTTTCACACTAATAACAGGTTCTCCTTTGGATTTATCCATTACTACCGTTCTCTCTGTTCCTTTACTTCCTAAACAAATCAGAGGTTGAGGGGAAAGAGGTGGAAAAAACAATCAAACTACATAACCTACAGCACTCATTGCTATGCCAGAAGTTATGTTCTCTAAAATGTGAGAATATGCATCTAACCATCTCTTCAAAAATAATTTTTTCACCACACCTATTCCAAGTGCTTCTGTTAAGGATGACATAATGTCGAACACCCCCCCCCACCCCACTTTATACCTTCTGGACTTCCAAGCAAGAACCAGAAATAATTCTAGAACATCGGCAGTTCTTCAGAAATAACTACCTACAATTAATTATTCATACTTCACCATATCTTTATGAAAAAAAGAATAGTCCAGTTACCCGACTTAATAGTTTTAGGTTGATCCAATGAACCAGACTTCAGTTCGTCTTTATCTTTTTTTTCATCTTTGTCTTCTGTCTTTTTAGGATCATCTTTTTGGTCAGATTTCTCATCCCTTTTAACACTGCCAGGTCTATAGATAGATATTGATATAGATTAGACTAATACAGAGTAAGAGAAAAGAAAATTAAAGCAGAATGCTAGCAACACAGTAACAAAGTAGAATTCTGATGTGATAAAGACAGTCGTAATTAGATTTCCAAAGATTTCCTTCTACAACTTCCTACACCATAAAATGAGACAATCAAACCATGCTGTGCAGTTATAAAAACGTGGCCATGATTCAGGTATCTCAACTAGAAGCAAAAGGAAAAATTCACACCATGTGCTTAATGCCCACAAAGGTTCTTACACAACATGACAATTATGAAGTGCCCATGTGAACCATTTTTGTCAGGCAACTAGGTGAAATAAAGGCAAAAACTTCTCAACAGACAGCATTTAACAGGAGTTATGCCTCAAGAAGATGATTACAGCAAAGAACTTAGTATCTTATTCATTTTCTTAGTGCCTTTTTCAGCTACTTTCAGTAATGCTAGCGAGAAAAAGCACAGTGCTGAAGAGGAACATATTGTGGAAACAGGATCTTGGACAACTCATCTTGAACTGTTTGTGACCGCAACCACCTGTGAAAGCCCTATTGCAATAGGAGAAAAATTTAATGAAGAAACAGTGACATACTGATCAAAATTCTCAAGTGGCCTTTCCTATAGATTTATGACATGAAAGCACCACAATCTACTAAACCCCAAATATAGCCAAATTAAAAGGTATGCCTGAAAATGCAACTTTCCAATGCCTACCTTAAAGCACATAACAGAAGTGTGTTAAGTTAGGCACTGAACATCAAGAGAAGTTTATTTTGTAGTAAAAGTTGGAAAAACGCATCTATCGCTGTTTCTGAATGTTTGCCACAGAAATTCTTACTGGAACTTTGTTTTTCCTGACAAATCAACAGAGACTGAAGAACAGCAAAACACCTTCCGACAGACAATTTTTAGAACAGTACCTCTCACTGGCTGTTTCTTTCTTTGCTTCATTCTCTTTTTTTTCACTTAGCTTCTTTCCAGCAGGTTCACTTTTTGCCTGAAATTTATTTTGCATATCATCAGCTGAGAATGTGGTCTCGACTATTTGTACAATCTGATGGTAATGGGGTATCTTTGAGGATCAGTACTCACTTTTTCTACAGAAATTATTTTCCCATGTAACTCTGTTTTGTGGAGGTGAGTAATACACTTTGTTGCTTCCTCGGCTGTAGACATCGTAACAAAGCCGTAACAGCGAGCACCAGGACTGCGAGCATTGGTGACCACTTTTGCACCTACCACCTTTCCAAAACAAAGAGGTATTACACTCACTGTAACAAATGCCCACCATTTAACAGCAAGAAGTACAAGCTCCATTTCTACTCTGTTTTATTCCTGTCCATCATCATTCAGGAAACTTCTAATTTTAAGAGATTAACAAATACAAAAGGAGCATTGCTTGGAGCCAATCACGCTTCTATTGCCAATGCAATGCTGCAAAAGCTGAATCAACAGATGGGAGCCAAAGACTGATTTCGGTTCTGAAGAAAGCCCGTTAAAAAAATAAAAGCTAACTTTACATCAACAACATCACTTTGCTTAAGTATAAAGGAGTAAAAACCTAGTAAAAATTTGTAAGCCAATTTCCACCCACATGCTAATGCTAGCTCAACTGCTAAGTCCCATCTCCCCTCAAAAAACTCCCCTCATGTCACTGCTAAGAGGCAGACCACAATGTTATCTACATTTTTGTTTGTTAAACAGGAAGTTTCCCCAAAAAGTATAACTTGAAAAAGCCCACATAAAAGACCTATTTTCATAAATGGTGCTTACTTATGCTCATATATTCAATATAGCTCACTTTGTATTACAGAAATAAATCATATTTCACAGAGGTGTCATATTTTAAAGCACAGCTTTATAAAAAACATACTTTTGAGCATTTGATTTATTGCAGATGTACATCTGCTTCTAGGAAGCTCTGCCTCTGATAATACTCCAAAGAAAGTAACAGTAATTTTATTTAAACGACTAAACGTTACCATGGCATCTAAGCAGAGGCAAATACTAGGTTGTCTGTCACATAGTTTTAAATACATTTAAAATTTTGTGGTGCATCTCTATGATCAACGTTCCAGGTTACCAGATGGAATTCTGAACAAATAAATAGGACTGCATTTTCATTGTCACAAGGAATGTTAAAAAGACTTTACTAGTCTCATGACCTTCAGACAAACTCAAAGCTATGCTACTCTTCATGCATTTTTGTACCTATTGTAAGTCACATTTAAGTTCAAGAGTATTTTCATTAGTTAAACATTCAATAGCAGATTGCTAGCACATACAGTTTTCTTTTACTACAATCTGCTGACAGTCATCTTTAAATAGGCTTCAAAGGTTTAACAAAAATCCTTACTGATGTCTCTGACATCAATCTTCTATTAAACTAGCTCTTTCAATTTCCCAACTGACAGGGAGATTTAACTTGCCATTTTGTCTATCATTAGTAACAACTGCAGGACTCCTGCCTCCCAAAACCAAACCAAACAAAAAAGTGCCCAAAACTACCTAAACGAGTGCTTTTTAAAGCAATTGCCAACTCTAGAGAAAAATAAAACTTCAGGTACCAAGGCAATTCTTAAGATATTTCTCAATAATTATGTTTCTACATTTACTGCATGTTTTACTTAGTCCTAAGGAAGTCTTTAATAAACAATATTAAATTCACTGTTGACTATGAATTTCCAATGGGTCAAGATACTCTATTACAGCACAGGAGACAGAAGTATATGTAAACAGTCACTGAGTGTTTAAAATAAAGACTGTAAATGGAATTTTGTATTTGTTTGGAAGTGAGCAACAAAATAAAAAAGCAGTCATTCAGCACCTACTTTGGCAATTTTTTCCTTGATATCCCGCAATATTTTGGATAATATGATTCCTTTCACTGGTGTTTTCAGTGACAGGAGCTTAAGAAGTCTTACTAAGACAGTTTCAAGTGAAAAAAAAAAAAAAACACAAACCAAACAACCCCTTACCTTCCCATATTTGCTAAAAAGATTCTTCAAATCTGTAGCTCTAGTAGTGGAAGCCAGTCCACTCACCCAAAAGTTTCGACCCGAACTGCTAGCAGTGCGACCTAATTAGGAAAGCAAACAAACAAAACCAAAACACACCCTAAATCCTAATTATTTCAACAACTACTTCTGAATTAAAAAGTAGTTCCACAAATCTTTTATTTTTTTAAATCATAGAGCAAATGAAATGCAATGCGTAACATTCTCCTGCCATGATTCACATTCCTGAAGGGAAGTAGTATTACAAGTCCAAAATCTTTAAGACGGAACTACAAGCTTTAATACATGCAACAGAAGTATGTTATGTCATTCTTCATGAAAGAAACTGGACTAGGGCATCTCTGAAGTAAAACTGTGGCTCTTCAGAATGTGCTTGGATACATCCCAGTAACTCTGCACTTACAGGAAAAGACAGAAGACCTGCTAGAATTGCAGGAACTGTGTTAGTACCCATATATGCTCACATCTTGCCCTCCTTATCTCCTCGACTCCAAAGGAATGATGATGCGATGCAGACTAACCATACCCCTCAAGGAAAGACATTCACCATACAGAAAGCAAGAAAATTTCTAGAAAAGTAATTTTATAAATGTTTATGTACTTGTAAAGTCTGAAAATCCAATGTCTAGCAATTAAGAAGTGTTCAAGTTGAACTCCCAAGTTTTAGTGTTTGCATTTCAGTGTGAAGCACTTATGCAGGGATACTGTTCCAGTCTCCTTTGAAATGTCTTTACTGTCTTTATCAGTGCTGGTAGTGTTCAGTTCCAAGGCTTCAATGAATGGAGTGAAGCAGGTTTCAGTTCAGCTACCTGCTTCCAAACCATCTGCCTTTTTTTTTTTTTTTTTTTGCCGGCGATATATGGAATTTCCCAGAACTGCTTTCTAGGGGAGACATTTCTCCCAGACCCTTTCTAAAATGCTATTTTATTTGGCTGTCTTTCCATCTCTTACTTCCTGATAACTCCTGTAATTGTCTCAAACATGAGCTTAGCACCGAGAACATTGTTTTTAACATTTATACAAGTTCCCTAGGAAAGCATGCAATCATTTGTGCCAATCTCTTTGAAAAGAAGTCTTTTGTATAAAGGAGATTAAGTCTACACCTGTCATCTTCTAGTCTCAAGAACTGCATGGACAAAGGTGTGTCATGCATGCAAACACGTGGGAGATACATTGTCTTGGTGTTTCAGAAAGCTGAACTGTAGGCTTTGCTGCTTTTACTCCACATGCTTCCTCTAGAATTTTAAAACAGCCACCTGTAGTTACCCTGGCACCAGCATCCTGGAGAAAGAGAAAAATGAGCACTTTCTTCTTTCTTCTATTTTACTGATGATTTTTTAGATTATTTAAATTATGTTAATGTCCCTTTTGAGTAAGCTTTGATTTGTCTTAACATCTCCAGTTTTTGCTCTCCCATAAGACTTAAAGAGGCATAAAATGGTACTGCACTTCCAAGACAAAGAAAGACTGGGACTATAAAAATCTTCTCTAACTTAGAAACTAGAACGATATAGGTATTGGGAACCAACCCTCAACACTACAGTCGTCTTCTTGGCGTAAATCGACTGCCGAGTCCACCAGACTTATGAGCTCATAAATTTATTTTTCTACACTCTTATTAATACACCTCTCATGCATGAAACATGGGAAACTCCTCATCCTAAATAAATCCTTTCATACAGGTGTGGAAATAGCAATGTACGAGTCAGAACTGACTTGGATATAGTTCTGTGCCTTTCTTCTGGCTCAACCGCTTTGCTCTGCATGCGGAGAGAGTTACATAATCAAGTAGCTACCTCTTACCAGTGCTGTTAACTAAGCCAGAAAATGACTTAAACAAATGTTATGGAACATAGCACATCCTTTGGAGGAAGGTATGCAGGGGCAAGGTTGTTATCAGACACCCAGATTCCTGAAGGCTGTTTTGAATGCATACTTCAAGAACAGTTGTTCCCAGTCCACAAAAAATACATTCAAGCCCTTGGGTAAATGACAGCATGCACAAAACGCTCCTTTAAATATTCTGAAATAAGAACACAAGATTACAGACTGTAAGCAAGAGGTAAACAGACCCTAATGGAGCTGATGGTGAGGTCCAATAGCTTGCACAGACAGGTATAACCCCGGATCTTCGAAAAAGCAGCTGACAATGAGTTCAGTCTGTGTTGTAAAACCCAATCAAAACCACTCAAATTCTTCCTGTCCAGTCAGTAGACAGATCTCATAACGAGTTTCTTGCCTATTATAGGAATTGCTGGAACTTCCACATTTACAGTGCCGAACTACCTGCCTGCAGTATGTAAGAACAACATTAACAGTCAGTTCTAAATTTTCTTCCCTGGTCAGATAGCACAGAATAGAGGTGGGGTGAGCTGCAAAGACTCAGCAGCCTGATGTATTAAAAGGAAGAAGTACGATGAAAAGAAGGAGCAGGCACCTGACACTGTTGATCAAGAAATTTTCATCTTGCTTATGATGCATATTTGCACCATAAATAGGATCTGCATGGACAAAGATTTAATAACGTCAGTCTAATTTGAAGACAATGTTAAGCTGTAAGTTTCTGTGGCATTTAAATACGTGAATACTAGATTCCAAATTATTTCAGCAAAACTGAAGACGTATGAAGAATCACAAGCGTATAGTAAAGCAAACACAATTGCGAAAGGCTCTTGACTCACTAACAGCTGTTGGTAAGCATCTTCAGTGCCATGAAAGACATATTTGCCACGTATTAACGTCTACCTTTGAAGATCAAGATACAAACAAAAGAGTGTGACACAGGCATCCTTAGAAAATGCATAAAAGGAAAATTTTTTTTTAGCGTAAATACATTTAAAAAAAAAATCCATAAAGAGGTGGATGATTTATGATATTTAACAATACACAGATTCCAATACTTTTCTGCTGAAATATCCCATCTAATACAAAAATAGTTTATCCAAGCAATCATTAAATTTCTGTTTTTGAAAATAAACATACCTTTCTCATCCTTTGAGATTATCTTTATATCTCTGTCCTCCTCAACAGGGCTAAAGACAAAACACCATATTATTCAAGTCAGAAAGAAAAGTAACTAACTATAAACTATGAAAAACGCTAAAATTAAATACCTACCAGAAAATACGTTGCAAACAAAATCACACCTTGGTATACTTGATTTAAGAAATCTGACAAGAAATAATGAAGTCAGATTCTTAAACAGACTTATATTAGGAAGACATTAACAAATAAGAGTAATTTAAGAAAACAACCTT